CACCAATCCATCAGGAGTGCCAACCGCAGCGCTTGTCTACGTAGATGATTTGCTTGTAGGTGCACTTTCGCCACGAGGCATTGATGATGTGAGGTCTGCACTGTCGGCTTCGTTGAAAGTCAAAACGACTGGTTCCATCACAAGTTCACGAGGTGTTGGAGGAAAGCTCATGTTTCTTGGGAGGGAAGTCATTGGACCTCAGCATTCCAGTTCAATGTTGGTCAGGGTTCCCCCAAGTTACCTTGAAGACCTTTTCACGAACGAGCCGTTTTGCAGTGACCTCAAAGCATCACCAGTTCCGCCTGATCTGCTGGCCATCCTTGAGAAAGGTCATCGCGATCCGACCACCGTCACAGTTTTGTCAGAAGAGGCTGCAAGCCGTTACAAGAAGATAGTCGGCAAGCTGGCATGGTGGTGCCATTCGCGTCCAGACCACTCGAGGTTTCTGTCGCTCCTGGCAACCGTGCAGTCCGATCCCACGAACATCCATGAGAACATGCTTCGTAAATATCTCAGGTTCGTCCGAAGTGTTGCCCACCAATTTCAACGATTCCCCGCTGAAAGCGACACAGTTCCGTTCTATGAAGGACTGACTGGTGTATCGGACGCTTCATGGGGATCTAGCGACAGTGAGAAACGTAGATCGATAAGTGGGGGAGTCATTTACTGGAAGGGAAATGTCATTAAGGCGTACAGCAGAATGCAACATTGCATCACATTGTCGTCGTGTGAGTCAGAGGTGATTGCTGTTTGCCAGATCTCCCAGGAATGCATAGGTTTGAGACACCTCACAGAGTTTTGGGGAACTTCGCTGATCCGGCCGAACTTGAAAAATTTCACGAGACTGACATCACCACGATTGAGTTCGACCGTGTAGGGAGCAATGGGATTCGGGAAAGTTATCCGATTGTTGTTTTCTCGGATTCGCAGAGTTGTTTGGCCGCCCTTCAGAACCAGGGTCTTTCGGTCTTTCAAGACGAGTGCGACACATGTCACTTGCTACATGTTTTGTTCAGTCGCTCATTGAAGCCGGACACCTGGTTCTCACGTGGATCTCAGGAAGGTACTGTGTAGTTGATTTGCTTACCAAGATCTTGAACAAAGATCTCACCGAGTTCCACAGGTGCCAAATTGGTATTGTCGAATCCTCAGCCCCCGAAACATGGCAGTTTGAAGTCAAAAAGAAGTCCAAAGGTCTTGACAAGAACCTGGCTGACGCACAGCCAACCGAGACTGCAGACCAGTCATGGGGACAGAATGTCCTCGAGGCCTCAATCGAAGAGCCTGACGCGCGCCCCATTCGAGATTTTTGTGAAAGGTTGGATTGCATCATGGCAAGAGTCCAGGCAAAGCGCATCACACACCTGGTGATCGATATGTTCACCAACCCCAATGCAGGCTTCTCCCAAATCCAAGACTTGCCTGAATTCCAAAGCTTGGGTGTGATCGCAATCACCAAGAACTGTCCAGTTCAGGCCATCAAGGGGAGGCTGATCGAATGGTTAAACCATGTGATTGAGAAGTGCCCAACCTTGCTGGTATTGTGCTGGGTTAGCCCTCCATGCACCGGAGGCAGTCCGGTTCTGAACCTTATTGCTAAGGCACGAAGGCTTGAGCTGCAAAAGGAACACTTTCGCACGTTCTCGTTTTTGTTGTCGGAAGCGACTCCCATCATCGAGATTGCTAACATTCGTTGCCTTGAACTTTCCAAATCCTGTACGTATTGGAAAACTGAGTTGATTCAGACGAACTGTCAACTTTGGGGACTCAGGTTCATGAAGGAATATCCGCGTTGTAGCTACCAGAGTGATCAAAGCATGACGGCAAAGCACGTGTTTCGTGTAGCTTGCAACATGCCCCTGTTCGAACCCAAAACGTGTTCTTGCGTCCAGCATTTGCCATTGAATCACCAGCGCCTCGAATCGTTGGGTTCGTATCCGAGTGCATTGGCTGTGGAGGCCGCATCTTGGTTCGTGTCCAAAACGAGGGCATCACTGGCAGCTGCGTAGAGATCTCAAGAGCATGAATTCACGTGTGTTTAAGTCAACTTCATTTGAAAGATCTTGATTGATGTTCTTGACATGAACTTCATTCGATAAGCGACTCAATAATATCGACTTGATCCGAACTTGAAGTTCACTGCATGTCACGCCGGCTAGTTTCGATAATTAGAGCTTAAAAATTGCATTGCACAAATCACCCCCAGGGTTGAACTTGATTTGCCATCCAGAGCAGACGGTCACGACCTTGAGGTTTCGATGTTCCACATTTGTGTTTTATTTTTGACTCGGCACATCCTCGCATCCTGATTCTTGGGGATGGCGCCGAAGATCACCATCATTGTGGAGGGAGATTCACCTGCCGACCTGCAGGTAAACATCTCCAGCGGGCCAGCTTCAAGCACCAAGGGCAACGGTGGAAAAGGGGAGGAGTCAGAAGCACCCTATCCCACAAAGGGATATCGTGTGAAAGGAGAAGGGAAGTCGAGCAGTGCATCAACCACAAGACAGGGTTCCTCCATAGCTCAGGCATCCACTGATCAAGCACTGGCCGGAGAAGATTGGGAGCAAGTCAATCATCTGTCCTCGGATGAATCTCACCAAGGGGGACCTCAGCCGCCAAACCCTCCACCAAGTGCACCCAGTCACAGCCCAGATGCAGCAGCCGAGGATCCACCTTCCACTACCTCTGATGGCGAGGTCAGGGCAGTTTCGTATTCCGTGTGCCGGAAGACCGGGCGTTGCTTTCACAAGAACAGTTGTGGAATGCTTCGAGCCAAAAGGCCATCTGAGTTGTACCAGTGGTTGCAGATTTGTCCCAACTGCTGTCCTCGCGGGGTGATTCGAAGGGACCAGAAGTTCGTGTTTTCCGAGCGTCATCCACAGTTTCTGCACCATTTGAATTTGAACGGGACTGTGGATTGCCTCGATGGCTATGATAAAACGGTCACCCCGTGCAGCCAGTGTATTGGAATCCCATAGGTTGTGAGATGTTTGATGCTAGGTTTGAACCTTGGAATATGTGATCCTCTCAAAGAGAACTTCACAAAGGTCTTCTAAGTTTACAGTTGTGTTTCAGATGCCTCGATTTCACTTGCAGGTTTGCTTGTACGCCTCGGTTCCACTTGTAAGACAATCCCGACCGATCGGGAGTGTTTGCGTGCGGGACTCATCCCACTCCTGGTGCCTTGGAGCTTAGAACGTGTTTAGTTTCAGTGAGTTAGATAGGTTCTTGACTTTGGAGTATGACAGCGATTCCATAGGAATAATGCTACACAAACCTCCGAGCTTGAATATCCAAAATGGCATCTCATGCCATTTGCAAGACAACCGAACCCGAATTCGGTTCAAGTCGAACATGATGTTTCAAAGAGGATTGGTGCCTCAGCATCTGTCCTTCCAGTGCGCAGGCGGTTTATCCTCGGTTCAATTCGAACATGATGTTTCAAAGAGGATTGGTGCCTCAGCATCTGTCCTTCCAGTGCTCAGGCGGGTTATCCACGAACACAGTCGAGGAATTCCAAAAGCCTGTGCCAATTTTGCTCATGTTCTCCATGACACTACCTCACTAGCATCTTGAAAGATTCTTTTGCTGAGCATAGATATTTTTCTTGAAGCTGGGAACAGACGTGTCACAGAACATATGATTGGAATTGCAATCCCGACATGGCCTGATCGGGATATATGAACCAAGCTTGCTATCACCACTGCAGATCATGATCAGTTTGAACGGAATGCCATAGTTGTGGGGGGGTGTGAAAGGATGACACCCTTTACATATACCATGACAACCATGTCCTTCCGTTGTAGCATGCTTGCCGGAAATCCAGTCCAAACCAGGCTGCAGGTCTTCGACCTGTTTTTGGCCGCTCGTGCGACCGGACGTCGCACAAATCGAGAAGAGTACCAACTTGAACCATGCCACTACTCGTGGCTCAAGTGTCTGCGCAAAAGAAAGCGCGGCACGCCAGGGGAACGGGGCGGTGGACGTGGCGACTATTCGCAGTCGCTGGCTTCGAGGTTTGCGTTTTTTAATTGTTCACGATTGTTCAACCAGAAGTGAATCTTCATAGGTGGTGGTGGTGGTGGTGGTGGTGGTGGTGGTGGTGGTGGTGGTGGTCGTGGTGGTGGTGGTGGTGGTCGTTGTAGTAGTAGTAGTAGTAGTAGTAGTGGTAGTCGTCGTGGTGGTGGTAGTAGTAGTAGTAGTGGTGCTAGTAGTAGTAGTAGTAGTAGTAGTAGTAGCAGCAGCAGTAGTAGTAGTAGAAGTAGTAGAAGTACTGGTAGCAGTAGCAGCAGCAGCAGCAGCAGTAGTAGTGGTAGTAGTAGCAGCAGTAGTAGCAGCAGTAGTAGTAGTAGAAGTAGTAGCAGGAGTAGTAGCAGTAGCAGCAGCAGCAGCAGCAGTAGTAGTAGCAGTAGTAACAGAAGTAGTTGTACTAGTTGCAGTAGCTTAGTAGAGCTTAGAGTAGTGGTAGTAGTAGTCGTCGTTGTCATCGTCGTCGTCATCGTCGTCGTCGTGCTAGTCGTAGTGGCAGTGGCAGTGGCTTTAGTAGTTGTTGTTGTTGTTGTGGTTGGTAAAATCGTCGATAGTGGGAAGGAATTGCAGGTAGAAGTAAGAGTAGAGGGAGTATTGTACACGGTAAGTGGCAGTACTAGTACTAGTAGTAGAAGAAGAAGTAGTACTTGTTGTTGTTAGCAGGTAGTCCAGTTGCCCTGCACACTTCTTTTTGACGGTACACCACCACTCTCTGTAGCCAGCGCACCTTCTAACCTCAACACATCTCATTCGCCAAATGCTGTTTCTTATGGACAAAATGTCTGCCCTCCTAAAACCTTCACTACAAATTTAGAAAATGTTTGATCCAATCCAAACTCCACATCATGCGGGTTCCAGAAACAAGCTGATCTCTTTTCTAAGGCCACTGATCATATGGATCTCCACGAAAACAATGTGACTCGAGAAATCCAGCGGACTATCCCAGCCCTTGATGCTTTCCAAGTGGCCTTTCATCCTGTCTACACTCAGCTCACTAAAGTTTCACTTCGAGCCAAACTAACAAACGGTTCTTCTCGAGACAGAAATCCGTCTCGGCTCTTTGCCATTTGCTAAACATGCTGTTCGCAAGCTGATGTCAAGACCTACATGAGACATCCTGCTGAATTCTTTGTCTTTTGTTCATGCATCGATGAACGGGTTCAGTCCAGTCTCATTCAAGGTACGTTGTCATGCATTGAACTCCGACCTTGCCTGACCTGTCTTGGTGGCCAGAGGAAGTTCGGAATCAATGTAGTGCACAAAGAACGGCTTGCTTGGGCAAGTTTTCCATGGGAGGCGTAGATTTCACAAATCCTGCAAACCGAAATATGCTACTTAACTTACGAGTCTTGTTCGTCCCTTCAGCCAGCCGCAGACGTCACTACTGAAGCTCCACTCCTCAATCGCGTAGGACGCCAATCTGCGAAAATGGAAAATGAAGATCCACCACCACTACTGGGTGTGTCTCAACGACTTCTGGAGATGCATGATCTCTGACAGTTGAAAGCACGGGATGCAGCTCCTTCCGCCTGTGGCTGGGTGAAAAGATTGTCCAATGTCTTGCAAGCTTACAACTCAATCATTTGCACCATGCATTGAGACACCCCTGAACGGATTTAAAGACCTAGATCTGCTGCTGGTCCGGCCAATTTGGCACGGAAATTGGCATCAGGACGCTCAGACTGCTCCTGCGGTGGCTGGCGCTGCACTCAGGGAATAGGCCTTGGGCGGGGAGTGGTGGTGAGAGTCCATGCCAGTCTCTTCCACCTCCTCGCTGATCCTCAACATGCGCGTCCTCTTGAGGACGAAGAAGGAAATGCCGGACAGGAGACCAGCCCACACGATGATCATCAGCACCTGCAAAATGATTTGCAAATCGCAAATATTGATGCTACAAAACGAACTGCCTCCTATAATCCGAACGGGAAAGATAGAAGATAAGAAACAATATTTTCAAATAGAAGGCAGTCATTTTGGGAAAGTTGGGCCATGGTTTCAAATAGAAGAAACTGACAACGTCCAGAGAATCTCCGCAGACCGATTTTTACGATTTCGGGCACTTCAAATAGAAGATACTGCTCAGCTGAGAGGTTTCAATTAGAAGAAATTGACAACGGCAGCCCTGGCCAGTCCAATCTTCTGTGAACACTACTCAGTAAAGGAAAGGAGAGAGGAGAGGAGAGAGGAGAGGCGAGAGGAGAGGCGAGAGGAGAGGCGAGAGGAGAGGCGAGAGGAGAGGCGAGAGGAGAGGCGAGAGGAGAGGAGAGAGGAGAGGAGAGAGGAGAGGAGAGAGGAGAGGAGAGAGGAGAGGAGAGGAGAGTCTATTATACAAGAAATTGCTTGCGCCAATCTTCTATTTGAAGGGTTTGGAAATTTGCCGCCGGGACGGTTTCAAATAGAAGAGGCCAGGTGGAACAAAAAATTCCGGTCACAACGTTGGTGAAAAACGAGAGAGGCCAAGCCCCGAGCCACTTCAAATAGAAGATGCAAAAAAAGCAAAGAAGAAGAAGAGAAGGGAAGGGAAAGGAGAAAGGGTGGGGAAAGGGGGAAGGAGGAAGGCAGGGGGAAAGAAGCAGAAG